GTTGTTGTCGTTGTTGTTGTTGTTGTTAATGACGGAACCACTAGCTGGCGCCCGCCCACCCCCGCCCGGCGCAGCTCAACGCAATGTAACGCACCCTACTTCGCGCCCTGAGGCCGCATGGGAGTCCAATGGGGTCCTCTGGGACCGTTTAGGATCCGATTGGATTCGTATGGGAGTCCTACAGGATCCGATGGAATTCGTGTAGAAATCCCATAGTCTCTTATTGGATTCGTGTAGAAGTCCTATAGGATCTTATGGGATCCGTGCAGGATTCCTGTAAGATCCTTTTAGCGATTCTTGCAAGGAGTCCTTTTGGATCCTATGGGAGTCGTATAGGAGTCTGGTAGGATCTTCTAGACTTCGTTTCGGAGTCCTATAAGATCCGATGGACCTCGTCAAGGAGTCCTATGGGATCCAATGGGATTCGTACAGGAGTCCTATAGGATCCCATTTGTTCGTATAGGAGGCCTATGGGATCCAATGGGATTCGTACAGGAGTCCTGTAGGATCCCATGGGTTCGTATAGGAGTCCTATAGGATCCGGAGGATTAAGGGGGAGGAGGATCCGCTGTTCAGCGGAGCCCGCCGAACACCGGAAGAGGGGGAGGAGAAGGAGTAGGGGGAGGAGGTGGAAGAGGAGGAGGAGGAGGAAGAGGAGGAGGTGGAAAGTTATTATTACTACCAACCGTCTTACTACCACTATTACTAGTGCGACTACGACCACTACTACTACTACTACTAATACTACTACTACTACTACTATTACTACTACTACTACTACTACTACTACTACTACTACTACTACCACTACTACTACTATTACTACTACTACTACTACTACTACTACTACTACTACTACTACTACGACTACTAACGACTAACTACTACTACTACTACTACTACTATACTACTACTACTGCTACTACTGCTACTACTGCTACTACTGCTACTACTGCTACTACTGCTACTACTGCTACTACTGCTAGTATGCTACTACTACTACTACTACTACTACTACTACTACTACTACTACTACTACTACCACCACCACTACTACTACTACTACTACTGCTACTCCTACTAGCGTTACTACTACTACTGCTACTACTACTACTACTTCTATTATTTCTACTACTACTACTACTACCACTACTACTTCTACTTTTCCTACTACCACTTCTACCAATTCTCGACTACTATTAGTACTGCGAGACGGCTACTTCTATTACTATTACTACTGTTGCTTCTACTACTACGACTCCTACTACTACGACTACTACTACTACTGCTACTACTACTACTACTATTACTACTACTACTACTACTACTAATACTACTACTTGTACTACTTGTACTACTACTACTACTACTACTATTACTACTTCGCTTTTTACTCCTATTACTATTGCGATTCATACTCCTTATACTACTTATTACTGCTATTTTTAGTCTTACGACTACTATTATTACAAGTATTACTACTACTACTCGTTCTAGTACTACTACTACCGACACCTGCTATTATTACTACTACTTCCACAACTAATACTACTACTACTACGACTACGGAGGCGACTACCATTACTATGGGTTTCATATGTACTACTACGACTACTACTACGACGACTACTACTACCCTATTCCTACACATCGTACTGATACTACGGCTACTACTACTACTACTACTACCACTACTACTACTACTACTACTACTACTACTACTACTACTACTACTTCTGGTACTACTGCTACCACTCCTGCTACTCCCACTTTCTTTGATCTTACTACTACTGCTACCACTACGACTCGTATGAGTAATTTTACTACTACTACTACTACTACTACTACTACTAGTACTACTACTACTCGTGCCACTACTAGTAGTAGTAGTAGTAGTAGTAGTAGTAGTAGTAGTAGTAGTAGTAGTAGTAATAGTAGTAGTAGTGGTAGTAGTAGTAGTACTAGTAGTACTGCTACTACTACTACTACTACTACTACTACCGAACAACGTAATCCTACTGCTGTTACCATTAATTTTATTACTAATACTGCTACAATACTACTACCACTAGTGCTAGTAGTAGTAGTAGTAGTAGTAGTAGCAGTAGTAGTAGTAATAGTAGTAGTAGTGATAGTACTAGCAGTACTACGACTACTGCTACTACTACTACTACTACTACTACTACTACTACTACTAGTACTACTACGACTACTACGACTACTACGACTACTACGACTATTACTACTACCTCTATAATCCTACTTCTTTTACTCCCCATATCCTAAGATGGGGTTCTTGTCATTACTTGGACGCCTCCTGCTCCTCCTTCTCCCTCCTCCTCTTTTCTCCTCCCCTCCTGTCGGACTCACTCATACTCCCACTTGCTCACACACAGACTTACTCATACTACTCACACCCAGACGTACTCATACACAGACTCACTCATACCCAGACTTACTCATACACAGTATTAGTCATACTCAGACTTACTCATACCCAGACGTACACATACACAGACTTTCTCATACACAGACCTATTCATACCCAGACTTACTCATACACAGACTTACTCATACACAGACTTACTCATACTCAGCACCCCTAAGGGGAGCCGCCAGGGGTGGTTGCACGGGCTCGTTCGCGGCCATTTTGTGGGGATGTCTCAGGCGGTTTGCCTGTTTCTGGGCCCAACATCCTTCGCTTGGAGAGCAGATTGTGAGGATGTCTCAGGCGGGGCGCTGGTTTCAGCACCCCTAAGGGGAGCCGCCAGGGGTGGTTGCACGGGCTCGTTCGCGGCCATTTTGTGGGGATGTCTCAGGCGGTTTGCTTGTTTCTGGGCCCAACATCCTTCGCTTGGGGAGCAGATTGTGAGGATGTCTCAGGCGGGGCGCTGGTTTCAGCACCCCTAAGGGGAGCCGCCAGGGGTGTTGCACGGGCTCGTTCGCGGCCATTTTGTGGGGATGTCTCAGGCGGTTTGCTTGTTTCTGGGCCCAACATCCTTCGCTTTCGGAGCAGATTTGGAGGATGTCTCGAGCGAGGCGCTCATTTTCACCCCCCAGGTGGGCCAGATTTTGAGGATGTCTCGATCGGTTTGCTTGTTTTGGTGGCCAGGCTCGTGGGCGCAGATTCTTTCAGGATGCCACAGGAGGCTCCAACAGGCTCCAGGAGGCCCCAGGAGACCACATGAGGTCCCAGGAGGCATCAGGAGGCCACAGAAAGACTCAAGAGGCCACAGGATGTCCCAAGAGGCTCCAGGAGGCCCCAGGGAAGCTCCAGAAGGCCTCAGGAAACCACAGGAGGCCCCAGGAGGCAACAGGAAACGCCAGGAGGCCTCGGAAGGCAACAGGGGGCCCCGAGAGGCCCCAGGAGCAGGAGGCATCAGAAGGCAACAGGAGTGGCTTCAATCCCATGTGTTTTACGTATGCTCCTATCGATTGGGCCTCACCTGGAGCACGATTCTTTGATGTTCTACGTATGTTTCTATAGATGGTCCTTCTCCTGTGTACACAATCCTAAATGTTTTACTCATGTTCCTATGTATTGGGCCTCTCCTGGGGCACGAGTCCTTGGTGTTTTACGCGTGTTCCTATAGATTGCCCTTCTCCTGTGGCTCTAATCCGCAATGGTTTATGTACGTCTGTTGCTATAGATTGCGCCTCTCCTGGGGCACGAAACCTTCCTAAGAGGTCCCAGGAGGTCCCAAGAGGCTCCTGGAGACCCCAGGAAGCCCCAGTAGGTTTCAGGAGGCCCCAGGAGGCCCCAGGCTCATGCACAGAGACGCGCTCGTACTACTGAGGCTCATTCACGCTCCATTTCGTTCGCAGTTAGATTGATGTCCAGACCGTCACAATTGAAGCCCGTTAATATTCGAAAGCTCTTGCGCCTAGACATTCACGGCGGACAGGTCCATGCGAGTAGATGCACATATGGGGAGCTCCACGCAGTGAGTAATTACTTCTGTACTACTACTACTACTACTACTACTACTACTACTACTACTACTACTACTACTACTACTACTACTACTACTACTACTACTACTACTATCACTACTGCTGCTACTACTACTACTACTATTACTGCTACTGCTACCACTACTGCTACCACTACTGGTTTGATTATTTATTTTTCTTTTCTTCTACTACTACTACTGCTACTGCGGCTGCGACTACGACTACTCATACCCTGTAGGATCTCCAAGGATCTACAGGACTCGGTCGAGAATCTGTAGGATCCTTCATAGATTCCATAGGCTCCCGTTGGGATGCTAGAGCATCCCCTATGGGGTGCCATGACATCCCCTAAGGATTCCATAGGATCCCCGAGGGATTCTAAACAAAGGTCCCCTGTAGGATCCCCTCGTGATTCCATGGCATCCCCTAAGGATTCTATAACATCCCTTAAGGATTCTACAGGAGTCCCAAGGGAGTCGACAGGATTCCCTGTGCGATTCTGAAGGAGTCTGCAGCTCCGATGTCGGCTTGGTGGAGCGCGCATACGTTCAGCTCGTGGGGGAGCGTGGGCTGCTCTAGGTAACCCGAACGATCCCAGCAGATTTTTAGCGGCTTCCTGTGGTTGTGTGTGGGGGGGGGGGGGGCGGCGCAGGGTACACCAGTGGATTATTTCATTACATGGAGCGAAACAGCCAACTGGTGCACCTGGTCTGGGTGCACCAGCTGGTTGTTTTGCCTTGTTGTTGCTGTTGCTGTTGTCGTTGTTGTTGCTATTGTCGAGGCTCGCGCGACCCGGGAAAACGGTTGCTTCGCGGTTTTGACTGATTTCTTGCGCTTGTAATCCAAGACGCACGGGATGGCGAAATCCGCAATCGGATGCGGAGGGATTTGAGCGGCAGAAGGAGGCGAGTGGAAACGGTGGAGGGGGTGTGAGTCGGATTGGAATGTGCTGGGCCGATACCCTTCTAGAAAAAGGATAACAAGAGAGAGAGAGAGAGAGAGAGAGAGAGAGTGAGAGAGAGAGAGAGAGAGAGTGAGAGAGACAGAGGCCAGCGATCGCGGGCGCTGAGCAAGGGCTACGTCAGCATCTCCGAGGCGGTAGCCCTTCGCTTGATGACCACGCGCCGTCTGATAGCCCCCTTGCCGCCTTGCTGCTGCTGCTCTCCCTGGTGCTCTTGCTGCTGCTGGCTCTGGTGCTCATGTACAACCCCTGCTGCTCTTGCCGCTGCTTATAGCTGCTGCTGGCGCCGCGCTGGCTGCTGCTGATGCTGTCGCTGATGCCGCTGTTTCTGTTGCCACTGATGCCGCCGACGAGGCCGCTGTCCGTGATGCTGTTGTTGCCCAGCTTCGTCTAACCGCTTTCCATCCTCACTGGGCCATGGTATCTCAGCTCCACCAGCCCACCCCTCCAGGTGGGGATATGCCTCGCGGAACTCGGAGACACATCGTAGGTCCCCACCCTTGGGGGGAAGTCGCCCAGTGAGGACGGGGATCCGTGAAACGATGTTTCGCTGTTGCCCTCTTCCTCTGCACGCCCCGTGGGGATGAAGGGCAAAGCGTTGCGTTGGAGAGCCATCTGTGGTCGCAATTGGAGGATGATTACGTGCCCCGCGCAAGCAGGAACAAATTTTGTCCTCGGCTCCATGAGCGGCGCCGTGGCGCCCATTCGAGTACAGTCAACCCGCATAGTAAGGATGGGCGGGCGGGCCGAAGGAGACGACCAGCGACGAGCGACCACGGACGAAGCGACTGGCGACAGCGACTAGGCGACTAGGCGACGAAGCGACGAAGCCCTGCGGGCGGCCGCCCTCGCGGGCGAACCGGGCATTTGCCTCGCCCTCGCCCCGCCCCGCTCTGCAGCCAGGACTCGAGCTGAGCGGTGCTCTGGCGATCTCGTGGACCGTCTTCGTTCTAATACCGCTTTTCGCAGCACGGGTGGCGCGAAGACAGAGAGCGAGGGGCAACGCAAGCAAACCGAACAATATAAACAAGATCACTCTTTAGCTCGAGCCACCCTGCACCCTACAGCCTTCGTTCTGATGCCGCTTTGCAACACAGGCGGAGCGGAGACAGAACCAAGGACAGCGAAAACAAAAAACAAACAGAAACCCGAAGCGCTCCTTGGTTCGAGCCCCCCTGCAGCCCTCGCCCTGTCTTCGTCTTGATGCCGTTTTTCGCAGCACGGGCGGAGCGAAGACAGAGAACGAGGGGCAATGCAAGCGAAACGAAACAACAATAACAAAAACACTCTTTCGTTCGATCCACCCCTCGATGGAGTCGCGGGGCCTATGATGGAGTCGCGACCGTCATAACTTTTTACCAGCCGGCACCTCGACCTGCAGCCGGCTCGCCCTGCAGCCCTCGCCCTGCAGGTGGAGTCCACCATGCGGCTGAACGCCTCCCTCGAGGAGGCGGCGCGCGGCGCCCCCGCCCCCCTCCTCCTCCTCCCCCTCCTCCTCCTCCTCCTCCTCCTCCTCCTCCTCCTCCTCCTCCTCCTCCTCCTCCCTCCTCCTCCTCCTCCTCCTCCTCCTCCTCCTCCTCCTCCTCCTCCTCCTCCTCCTCCTCCTCCTCCTCCTCCTCCTCCTCCTCCTCCTCCTCCTCCTCCTCCTCCTCCTCCTCCTCCTCCTCCTCCTCCTCCTCCTCCTCCTCCTCGCGAGGCGCGCGGCGCGCGGCGCACTCCCCCGGCGCCTTCCGCTGCCGGGGCCGCCGTGCCTCCCCCGGCCGTGGCCGTGGAGCTTTGCGTGGATCACCGAGCGCGCTCCACTGGCTCGCGGAGTGCCTACTCGCAGACGTCCGAAAAGCACGTGGTTGCCTCGACGCAGTGGATCGTAGATCTCCCGCGGCGCCTCCAGGCCGCTTGCGAGTGGCTACACTGCGAGTCGTGGAGCGCGCTGGTCTAGTGGAGCCTCTGGTGTGCCCGCCTCGGGACAAGGGTACCCGGACCACTACCCTTCGGGTAAAAGTGTGCGTCGGAGGAGGAAAAGGGTACCCATCGGTCGTTGAAAGTAGGTATTTTTGCATTCCCAGCTCCCAATCTACTTCAGCCGCCTTCCTAATTCAAGAGTCGAGTGGTTTTCCCTCTCCCCTCCTCTTCGGGAGGCGGGCGGAAACCCAATCTACTTCCAACGCCTTCCTGGTGGTTCTACCTACTTCTTCACACCGATGGGTACCCAGACCACTACTCTTCGGGAGAAAGGGTGCGTCAGAGGAAGAGAAGGGCACCCCTTTTTCGGCCTCCCGGGAGGCCTTCGTCGCCACCGCTGGGCTCGCCTCGAGGTCCTGGTCGGAGCGCGCCCCGGGAGAGGTCTGGGGAGTGCGCCGCGGTGTCGGTGCCTCTTGGTCTCCCCGGAATCAGTGTCCTTCTCGGCGGCGCGCCGAGGGAGGACGGGAGAGGGGGCAAGGCCTCTCAGAGGCTGGCGGGCCGAGGAGGCCCGCCCCCTCCGCCCTCCTTGTCCCCCCCGGGGGCGGGCCGCCGACGTTCGAGCTCACCCCGGACCTCCTCAATTCTGTTGCTCAGGAGGGGAAAAACACACAGACAGAAGTAGCCGTCGATTTCCAGGAAGATATAGGAAACTATGGGAAGTGGGGGGGAAGACGCAATCCAGAACATCTGTAGGAAGATGTGGGGAATCCTGTGGTTTGTGTGTGTGTGTGTGTGTGTGTGCGTGTGTGTGTGTGTGTGTGTGTGTGTGTGTGTGCGTGCGTGTGTGTGTGTGTGTGTGTGTGTGTGTGCGTGTTTCTTTGTGTGTGTGTCCCAGGGCCCCTTCCGTTGTGGCACCTCCCCCTCCCGTTTCCGCTGGGCCTCTCGGAGGCCTCCGGAGGGCCCCGAGGTGGCCCGAGGGAGCCCGGGGAGGGGCCCCGCGGGGCTCCCCCGGACGACCGCCGACCGCCCGAGGCCGCCCAGGGGCGCTCCAGGAGACCCCCGAGAGGGCCCCCCGGGGAGCGGGTTGTCGGCCGCCTCCTCGTCCTCCTCCTCGTCCTCCCCCTCGTCCTCCCCCTCCTCCTCTTCCTCCTCCGCCTCCTCCTCCTCCTCCTCCTCCGCGTCCTCCTCCTCCTCCTCCTCCTCTTACCCTTCCTCCTCCTCCTCCTCCTCCTCCTCCTCCTCATCCTCCTCCTCCTTCTCCCCCCCCCCCTCATTCAAAGCCGAAATCGTGAAACGCATCCGTGGAACGATTTTGACCTCTCGGGGGCATGCCTGGGAGGCGTTTGGGCGACATGGCTCCAGGAGGGTTCCCTACGCCTCAGGATGGCCTCAAGATGGTAGCAAGATCGCTCAAGAGAGCCCCAGGGTGGTTCGCGACCCTCCCTTCAAACCCAGCGGAGAGAGAGTAGGGGGAGGAGTAAACCCGTCCCCGAAGGGGCAAGCGGGGGGGGATAGAAGAACGAAGTCGCTAAACCATCTACGCCCAACGTGCTCGTGTCGAAGAACAGCGAAACGGCATAACCATAGTTTTTTGGTGGTCCGCGCGGACCGTCAACAGCTTATGCTTCTGCCGTTTTGGGCTCACCTCTTGTGGGATCTACGCGGGATGCTGCCATCGCGAGCATGTCAAGGACCTCGCTGGGATGGCCCAGGTGTGGGGGGGGCAGTAACCTGGCAGGGGCGACGAGGCTCGCGGGACCCCGTTGCTCCCCCCCCACACGGCGCACAGCGAGCGATCCTGCTCGCTCGCCCCAGCCTCCTCTGCCGGATTTTCCAGACGCGCCACTGGCGACGCTGCTCGACTAGACGTAAGAGTGACCTTTCGCCGGAGTGACCTTTGGTGCGGGCACAGATGGGTCCTCAGATGGCTGAAAACGAAGCGGTAGCAGCGGCTTGCGCGCCCAGGTTCGGTCTCCCCGCGGCCCCGAAAAAGCCGCGCACCAAAGGTCATTCTTATTTAGGGTCACTCTTGCGTGTCGCCCAGGCTGCCAACACTCTGGGAGCCTGCTCAGGCCCACCTGCGGGGGGACGGGGACACAAGCCGCTGCAAACGTACAAGGTCGGCGAGCCCCCCCTCCAGAGGCGGACCGCACTTGTACGCTCAGGATTGTGAGCACTGCCCCCCCGATTTCTCTGGGGCGCCCCTGAGAGCTCTGGATCGATCGCTCGATTACTCAGCTGTCGTCGCCGTGCTGGGCTTGGGTTCGGCATTTCGGATCAAGAGTGCTTCGCCGAGAAATTCGATGACGCGGTGCCGAGTCGAATGCGCGTCAGCGTGGGTCCGTTAGTAGTGTGGTTTGGCCGCACCATGGCCTTTTGGGGCCTCTTGGAGGCATGCTGGCAGCCGTCTCCATGGCCATCTTAAGAGATCTTGTGCCATTTTGTATGCCATCTTGAGGCCATTTTGGAAAGCGCTCTCGGTCGCCACCTCGTCCAGACCCAGAGGAGGGGTGGGATGATTAACCCCCTGCCCGAAGGGAAATAGTGGGTTGTAAGAACCGTAAATCTAAACCACGTGCGTCCAGAGGGCTGGTGAGATTGCTAAATACATCTGGCGCGATTCCTTCGAGTTCTGAAGAGGCGAAGGAGGAGAGCGAGAAGGAGGATGAGGAGCAGGAGGAAGAGGAATACTAGTACTACCAGTAATATTAACAGTACTAAGACGACAAAGCATACTACGAACAACCGTGCAGAGAATGCTACGATTTCTACGAATAAGAATGCTACCCATCATATGCATGATCACAACCATAATCGTATACATACGCATAAACATAAACACACTCATGATACGTATTACAGTAAAGCTCATACAACTATTTAGAATCAGACTGCTACTAATACTAGTAGCAATCATGCAATAATAATAATAGCACGACCAACACGCATACAGCTAACACTACAAGTAAGAAGCTGCATAATAAGGCTACGGCGCATACAACAACTCATACTACTCCTACTACTGATGTGACTAATGGGAACAGTACTACTGCTAATCAACCTACTAATTCTTTTGTTAAGCAGAAGAATGACAGTACCAGTACGAAGAGTATAATTCAGAACAGTTATAACACAACTCATATTACTAACACAAATAATGCTGACACTCAGACGACTATCAAGGCGTCAAGAAGTACTTCTACTAGTAGGAATACGAAGACTGATTATAGTACTACGGCGAACCACACTAACACTAACACGACTAATAAGAAACACACTTCATGAAAATACTGATACGACGAATCGGAACACATGCATAATCATGTTAATACTAGGAATTCTACTAGCCATACGAATGTAAACAAGAGTAACATTAGGCATACTAAGAAAAGTGCAAATAAGTAGCATACTTATAGGAATACTAATAGCATTTCGCATGATAAGTATACGAAGAAGAATAAGTGGGGGACCAAGTCGAATAATATAATTCATGTGATACTCATAGTTTCGCTAGTATTAATAATGCTAGGAATACTTATAGTAATATTGATCATACTAGTAGGAGTGCTACGAATTATTTAAACAACACTTGTAATACTAGTAGTATTATTAATCAGACAAGGAGGAAGATGAGGATGAGGATGAGGAGGAGGAGGAGGAGGTAGGACAAGCTAGGTGCGCTCGCGTCATATTTGACGTTCTTGTCCTCCCTCCCGTCACTTACGATGGTGTAGATCGCCTCTCTGTTCGCATAGCTGGATGTGGAGCACGGCAATGATCACGAGAGGGTGCGCGATGCATAGTGGAGCGCAGCATAGCAGGGCGTAGAAGAACACGGCAGAGCGTAGTATGTCATAGCATGGTGTAGAAGATCAAATCGTAGCATGACATAGCATTGCGTGGCACTGCGTAGTTAAGCACTGCAACACCAAATAGCATTGAATTGTATGCCGTGGCATGGGACTGGAAATTAATGACGCCAGCGCTGCAGCGGGAGCACGATTCGGAACGAGCGGAAGCGCGGAAATGAGGCCAGCGCTGCAGCGGGAGCACGATTCGCAACGAGCGGAAGCACGAAAATGAGGCCAGTGCTTCAGCGGGAACAACATGTTGAAAAGAACCCAAGCGAAAACCCAACTCCTGGGAATGCTGTACAGTACGCGGAGGGGGGCCGAACATCTTCTGGACGTCATCAGGGGAGAGGAGAATAGTATGCATATAGCGGCGCACCAGGCTCGGGGGCCGAGGGCCGGAACCTCGACCGCAAATGTGGGTGCTGGGGCCCGGGCCCGCCTCTGGGAGGCCTAAAATCGCCCCAGGAAGCTCTCAGACAGCAATCCCAGCGGCCCCAGACGGTCTCGAGACATTCCCAACACGCCGTTCAGGGGTCTCTGGTGATGCACGATGCGTTTTAAACTGCCCTGGAGGCCCCCAAGACGCCCCAAGAGCCTTTTAATATGCCGCCCACGAGCGCCCCGAGAGGGCAAAATCGTTGATTTTCAGGGGTTTCTATGATGTTTTTTTGCGTTCTCGCTGTCTCGTGTTTCCGGCGCTGAAGCACCGCCCAAAAGGCTCCCCAAACCGCTCCAAGACGGCCCAAGAGAGCCCCGAGACTGCCCCAGAGCCGCCCAAAACGGCCAAGAGGGTCCCAAGAAGGCTCCAAGAGGGGCCCAAGAGAGGGAACGCGAGCTGAAAATTCAAGCTCTCCGCCCCAAGATGTCCCCAAGAGGCCCCAAGAGGCCCCCAGGAAGCCCCCAAGAGGCCCCAAGAGGCCCCAAGAGGCCCCCAGGAAGGCCCCAAGAGGCCCCCAAGAAGCCCAAAGAGGCTCCAAGGGGCCCCAAGACGGCTTCCAGTCGGCCGAAGAGGCCCCCAAGATACCCAAGAGGCTTCCAAGAGGTCTCCCTACAGGGCTCGAAGATGCCAAAACACATGGATGTTCCATAGGTTTTTGAACAATTTTGGCGTTTCCGCTTTTTCCGCTTTCCGACGCTGCAAAACGCCCCGTGAGGCTCCGAGTATCGCCCCAAGACGGCCCAATAGGCTTCAAAAGCGCCCCAAGACGGCCCAATAGGCTTCAAAGGCGCCGAGGAGACGTCCAAGACGGCCCGAGAGGCCCCCGACCGCGGCCCAGGATCGGGAACGTGAACCGAGAACCCGAGATCTTCGCCCCAGGAGACCCCCAGGAGGCTTCAAGAGTTCCCCAAGAAGCCCCAAAGAGGTCCAAAAGAGCTCCGAGAGAGGCCCCGAGGGCACTTGAGAAAAACGGGATGCCCAACATTTTTTTCAAAGTTCGCCTGGCAGCTTCGCTACGCTTGTCAAAAGGGAACTATCAGATTCCATTCTCCTCCTTCTCCTCCTCCTCTTCCTCCTCCTCCGGTTCCTCCTCCTCTGGGGCCTCTTCCACCCTCTCCAACTCCTAATCCTCCTTCTCCTTCTCCCCCAGGGAAGCCCTTCACCTCCCCTCCTCCTCAATCTTCCTCTTGGCTACGTCCAGCCGCGGCGAAGAAAAGGGTCTCAAAGTGCTTTTTGAGCCTGTCTTAATCAAGACGTCGCGGGTGGACCGTAGGAAGTCTTGGAAGCCGCTTCGGCCGTCTTCGTGGTTCTTGGAAGCCCCAGAGAAGAAGTGTCATGGAATAGAGATCCTCAAGAGTTCGACCATCCAGCCTAGCTAGATCTTGAGCCCGCGCGAAGCACGCGCGATGGTTCTAGTACTCTGTGTAATTGTAGACGGTGAAAGTCGGTCGCGACAGCATGAGAAGGCGTCAAGCCGACGCATGCCGCAACGCGAGAGTGAGAGAGAGAGAGGCGAGTGGACGCGTCCACTCTCCTACCACGCTTGTCTGATAGATACTCCCCCCGTCCACCATGGCGCTTTGGCTGGAAAGGGTCGGGTTGGTAGGTTGGAAGAGCCTGTTGGTAGGACGATGGAGGAGGGAGGAGTGATGTGTGGGGAGGACAGCGATCGAGGATCGAGGGTCAAGTTTTTCTTTTGGGGGGGGTCCCTTGAATGCCGCTCGGTTCGGGGAGGAGGGAGGGGGGATGGGGAGGGTTGGAGTGAGCGGGGCAGCCTTCCTTGTCCCTCGCCTGCTTGTGTCGCCCCCTCCCTGTCGCCTTCCTGTACCTGCTCGCTCCTGAGAACGAGCCTCTCCGGCCCCTCCAGACCACCGTCGGGAGGGCCACCAGCGGACGTGGACTCTGATGAGGGTTGGGGGGGCGAGGGGTGAGGACAAGCTAGGTGCGCTCGCGTCATCTCTGACGTCCTACCCCTCCCTCCCATCCTTTACCATGGCGTAGATCTCCTCTCTATTCGCACAGTCGGATGTCGAGCAGGGCAATGATCGCGAGAGGGTGCGCGATGCATCGTAGAGCACGGCATGGCATGGCGTAGAAGAGCACGGCAGAGCGTATAATGTCACAGCATGGCGTGGCATTGCGTAGTAAAGCATTACATCACAAAGCATTGCAGCTTAAAGTATGGCATCGCACAGCGGCGAAGAGCAGAACACCGCACAGCATGTCATGGCAGGGCACCGGGTTCCTTAAGTGGATCGTCTTTGAAGGGTCTGGGCCGGTCTGGAGTCGCGGCTCTATGTTTAGCTCCCTGGGCTCCCCGAAAAGCTCCTTACAAGGCGGGGCTGGCTGATGGAGAGCATCCGCTGGCTCTGCTTGCAGCATCGCCTTCTGAAAGCAGAAACGGGGCTCCCGATGGATACTTCCTCCAAGCGACGCCGCCCCAAAGTGGGGGGGTGCCCTCTGCGGCCAAAGAATTGAACGAATCGACACCGGATGTATTATCACGTGCAATGTTTTTTTGGGGGGGTAATTTTGTAGATTTGGGGCCTACTTGGAAGCGGGAGCTCGTTTTGGAACAACCAGAGGCGCAGGGGGCCAGCGCTGCAGCGGGAACAACATTTTGAATGACCGAAAAGAATCGAATTGTCAAAAACGCAGATGGAAGCCAGGAAATGAGGCTAGCGCTGCAGCGGGAGCATGATTCGGAATGAGCGGAAGCACGAAAATGAGTCCAGCGCTGCAGCGGGAGCGCGATTCGGAACGAGCGGAAGCCCGAAAATGAGGCCAGCGCTTCAGCGGGAACAACATTTTGAAAAAAGCCCAAGCGAAAATCCAACTCCCGGGAATGCTGTGTGTAGAAAACAGTACGCGGATGGGGGGCCGGACATCTTCTGAACGTCATCAGGGACGAGAGGAGAGTAGTATTCATGGTGTAATTGTGAAGGAGGACGACGACGACGAGGACGGCCGCCGGCGACGCCGACGCCGACGTCGAAGGCGACGCCGTGGGGTCAGAGGAGGATGTCGGCGACGTGGTCGGCGTGCGCCGCCAGGGAGGAGCTGCCAGCTGTCGGCGCGCGGGCACGTCGCGCCCTGTCCATTCCGAGGCGCGGCGGCACGCGCGCGGGTGTAGATTCTAGACGCAGCGTGCGCACTCGCAACACTTCACCACCCACCAAACCACCCCAACCCAACCCGAAGGTCTCGATTTGCCCTCCATTTCCAGCTGGGGGGGGGGTCGGGGAACATCGAGCAAACACACATATGGACCCCGTACCCCCCCCAACCCGAAATTCGGGTCTTCTGGTTGGGTTGGGGTGGTCTGGTAGGTAGTCTCGGGCCGGACGAAACGGGGGGATTGGGAAAGGGGGGGTTACGAAATTTGCTGCATGCAGCTGGTTTCGGCCCCACCGAGGGGCCCATTCCTCGATACCTGGGCGCCTCCTGGCGCCGGGAGGCGCCGGGAAAATCAGCTATGCGAGCTGATTCTCAACCCCCCCCTTTGCTATCCCCCCCTTTTCGCCCGGCCCGATAGTCAACGCTCACACCTTGAGCCTCGAGGGAACGCGACCATGGCTTGAGGCGCGCAGATCGGCGACGGGGCCCCGCTCCCACGCAGAACCGGCGCGCTCCGTGGCCCACTCGGGCGGCGCCAGCCTCGTGCTCTGGGGGGTGCCGCCCCCTGGCGCTCACGCGCCAGCTCCGCGGAGCCCAAGTCCAGGGCAGGGCGTGCCTGGCGCACTCGGCAGGGAGTGCTTCCGCGTCCGGGTGCCCTCCTCCTCCTGTCCTCCGCGGCCGCTTCTTTTGCCGTGTTCTCCCTCCTGCACGCTGGCCGATTCGCGTGCCAGTCGCCCCGGATCGCCGCCCGCTGGAGCAGCTTCCTGCCTCGCCGCCGACGTAGGCAGTGCCCGAGAGTCGTTGGGGGGCGACCCCACGACGGTGGAGTGATATCTACTGCTTGCCCCCGAGGTACAGCTGCGCTTTCTGTTTTGCTGCTGCTCTTCCCGCGAGGGCTTCGGGCGTTCATGAGACGGGTGGGCCCGTGCGCAGAACAACTCCCAGCTGGAGGCGGAGATTGCGGAGTGCCTGAGGCTGAACCTCCAGTTGAGAGACAATATAGTCCGCATGGAGGCGTTCCCCTTTACCCTGCTCCCTATCATCGACCCCTCCCTCTATCTTCCTTCCTTTCCTCCCCTTTCTCATTAACCCCTTTCCCATTCTCTCTTTCTCCCCTTTTCCCTTCCCCTCCCTTCCATCTCCCCTTTTCCGTTTCCCCTTGTGCTTTTCTTTGTTGCCTTTTCCACTTCCTTTTCTCATCCTTCCCCTTTTTCCCCTTTCATTTTCCCTTCCTCTTCTCCCCCTGCCCCCCCCGCTCTCCTTT